CCTGGGCTGGCAGGCTTGGAGCTGGCACAGGCACTGTGGCCAGGGTCTACCCCTTTAATGGCTCCTGGGCTGGGGGAGAGGAGAGTAAGGTTTCCTGGCTGTGTCCAGAGTGGCCACCAGGGCTCCCTGGGAAGGGCTGGAGGCCCCCTATTTCGAATTAAGTGTCTACACAGCACTTAATTCAAAATAGCTATTTCGAATTTGGTGTTACTCCTCGTAAAATGAGGTTTACCAAATTCGAATTAAGCGCTCTGCTATTTCGAATTTATTTTGAAATAGCGGTTTACAGGTATAGACACTATTAAAGTTAATTTGAAATAACAGCTGTTATTTTGAATTAACTCTGCAGTGTAGACATACCTACAGTTCTCGGACAGGACTCAAGAAAGGAGATCAGAATCAGCTAACAGCCTTAAATCAACCATGGAACAATGACAGCTCTAAATTGACAGTTACCTACTTCAGTGTAACAAGTTCTACTTAATATACATTTTTTTAAAAAATATGTACAGTTGTTACAAAAATAAGTGCATTTTTACTCTTGTTGGATAAAATGGTTGTCATCTATAAAAACTCACATAGAAGATTTTACCCTCCAAGCCACATCAATCTTAGAGAACAGATATGTTTTCATAGTATGAGAGAGAGAGAAACAGCAGCAAAAATATCAAGGACAGAAGATCTAAAGCATATAATCCTTTCTAAAAAGTGCATATTTTGAAAGGTGAGTAGATCAGATGTGAAATGGTATCATTTGAGGCCATAAAAAACATGACTAAATCAACAGCCTTAGAAGGCAAGTCATCAACTCATTTCTCATGGAATACTTGTCTTAGTCCAGTTTTTAGTCGATGGAATGTCTGAATCAAAAAAAATCCCATCATTATCCTTAAGTGACATCCTGGAGGCAGACTCAGTAGACAGTATGAACGAACAAGCAAGAAGACTGAATACACTTCCTTTTCGCTGAAGAGGAGATCTCTCTAGACCAGAATCAAGCCACATGGTAAGGCATGACAGAAGCAAATTTGCATATGACAATAAACAAACTACTAAATTGAAAAAGAAAAAGAAAGCTTTACAAAAATAACATTGGCTTTGCAAAGGTCCTCCTTCAGCTTTTCAAGCTGTTACACATCAGTGGGCTAAAATGTTTTTAAAAGGCTCTGCATCTCTCCATATCTACACATCAGAGATTTCAAGTCCCTATAAGAATGCTATTCTTAACAGATGGTTTATTTTAGTAGATCCAAGCTTATCAGTCAATATCTGATCTGTCATCTTCTTCAGATAGTTTTCATCCCCACATCTTGAACACTCAGAGGAAATAGCTTTCCTTCTGAAAACAGTAAGTTTGGAGGTAAACTATCTGCAGCTTCCACTGAGATTTGAATCTCTGATTCTCTTTTCAAGGGGTTTTCTTCTTTAGAAAGGGGAATTTCTTCCTCTGTTGGAGTGCAGCAGGGAACATTTTCATAATCCGTGGTGGTTGAAGTCATCTGCTCTGGAAATTGTGGGTTGTGATTTGAATTACACACATTAACAATACAAGTAACATTCACCTGCGTTCCTCCATTAGCAGAGTGTTCTGTGAAACCAACAGAAAAACAAATCAAAAAGTGGAAGAGTGAAATCTACAGCAAGATGATAATAATTCATTACATTGGATTAAAAAAAATAAGAAAAACCTATAAGCTTTAAAACAATGTAGATGAAAAATAGGCAGATAGCTTCCTTCTCTTACTACAGGCAAAGCTAGTAGCACCACCTAGGGCAGTGTTTCTCAACCAGTGGTACGAGTACCCTTAGGAGTACTCCAGAGAAGTCTGAGGGGGTACGTCAACAACTGAAATTTGGAGAAAACTGAATTTTTGTTTTAAGTTTCATAGTGTTTTATTATTTTTGTGCTTTTTACACCCAAAAATTTAATCGCCCGCCCGGCTACGATTAAGTTGTTTAGACAAATGTGTTACACAAAATTTTATCTACCATTGCATCTGAAAACTGAAAGTAGGGACTGGAGGTACTTTTTTTTTTTAAAGGGGGTACTTTATAAAAAAAAGGTTGAGAAACACTGACCTAGAGGATATTTACACAGCAATCACATACACAAAGCTGGTCCATACCAGCTGAATCAGATGGGCAGGGCTCAGGCTAAGGGTCTCTTAGGGTACATCTATTCAGCAGGGCTAAAGCCTAAATAAGCCCGCAACTTGAGCTACGTCAATTGCATAGTTTAAGTTGAAATAATGCAAAAAGCTGAAATACGCTATCTACACAGCAAGAAGTCCAAGAAAGAGCACTCTTCCTTCGACTTCCCTTACTTCTCACAAAATCCTTTAGCTCGACATTATTTTGACATTATGTCAAAATAACTGCTTGTAATGTAGACGCGGACTACTGACATTATTCTGAAATAACACTACTATGTAGACTTAGCTTGTAGTATAGATGTTCAGGCTTGACCTGAGTTCTGGGACCCTCCCACCTTTCAGAGTTCTGCATATCAAGCTGTAGCCCAAACCTGAATATCTATACAGCAATTCAACAGCCCCTAAGCCCAAATCAGATGGCATGGAGGATCAGCCACTGCAATTAAACACCTGTTTACCCCTAGAATGAGCATTACCAAAGCACTTCCCATTATAGCTACATCTAGACTGCAGCGCTTTTCCGGGATACCAGAGGTATCCCGGAAAAGTAGTGTCACGTCCAAGGAATGCATCCACTTTTCTGAAGAAAAAAAAAAAAGGACGCATTCTTTCGCCATCCCTGTAAACCTCATTTTACAAGGAAGAAGAGATGGCTCGAAAGGGAAAGTTTTTCCAAAATTTTGCACCGTGTAGGCGCACCAAATTTTGGAAAACCCTGTTCCAACAGAAAAGCGGAAAAAGAGACGCAAATTGCAGTTTGCAATTTGGGTATCTTTTTCCAACTTTTCTTTGTAATGTAGACATAGGCTATAAGATCCTGTTTTCAGCTGCTTATAGCTTTGGCAAACTTTAACTCTGTGAAAAAAATGTCCATGCCTCGGGCTGAATTTTTTGGGAATATGTCAACTAAAGCATTTCAGCTGTTTCCAATAATTAGGTTAGGGAAACCTTAAATTCAGCACAAGCAACCTTAATTCTGAAATGTCCTAACTATTGAGGGCTTGCCCTTGCAACCGTAATGTTTTTTTAATACTGATTCTTTGCCTGTAATTCATAAAGATACAGTGCTGGGATAACATATATAACGATACTCAGATAATTTTTTCCTTACTCCTCATCTCATTGCCTACATTCTCCCCAGTTTTTTTGCTTTATTGCTCCCTTGTATGCTTCTCCTACTTTCAGTTTAATAGGGATGTAAAAAGTTGTTTAAAAATGTAACTGTGTAGCCACTAAAAATCCTAGCTTTATACTGCAGAGCTACTCAGGCTTTGTACTGTAGAGAAGGCAGGGAGTTACTACAACCCCTACTGCTTAACCAGAACTGGTAGAACCCATTAAGGGTGAAGCTTACAATTAACCAGTTAATCATTTACATCCCTACTATAATCATGCTGCCCCCTTTGCTTGTGTTTTTCTGTAAGGAGTTAACACAGGGGTGGGCAATAATTTTTGCCCGGGGGCCACTTCAAAAATTTTTGAAGTAGCCCCAAGCCATCCCAGAAGGGGCAGGGCCTAAACAGAAAGGGGTGGGGGAGCCCCTTTGCCCCCCTCGCTTCCCACTAGACACCCATGCCCTGAAAAAGGCTTGGCTCGCCGGGCGAGCGCAGGAAGCCTCCTCCCACTCTGCGAGGAGCCCGTGACACTTCCAAGGAAGCTTCATGCAGCTCTCCTGCCCCCAGGCCCTGATTGGCCTGGGGTGGGGGAGCGCATGAGACCTCCTCCAGTCTCCCCTGGGCCCAGCGAGCAGCACGTGGTGCTTCAAAGCACCATGTCCTCCTGGCAGGGTGGGAGGAACACGCAAAGCCTTCTCCGCTCTGCCCCCACCCTGCTCGCAGCGTGAGGCGGTTTGAAGCGAGCGTGTTCAGGGAGACAGTGTGTTCATGTACACTCTTTGTCAGTAAACAGGACTGCACCAAAGCAAAAGCTGACTCTCGCAATCAATTTCTCTTCCTAACAGAAACCACCCTGCCCAAACGCTGACTAACTGCTCAGGCCAAAGACGCAACAACCTACAACATTCTATCCACACTCATCAAGCGTCTCTAGTCCCCCAATGTATTTCTTCAAGCAGGCCACTGATGGGGGGAGAAGGGGGAAGAGAGAGACAAAGGAGGCAGTTGCCCCAGGGCCCGATGGTTTAAAAAGGGCTCCATGCCTTAAGGGCTGGCTGAGGAAAATGCAGTGCAGTCTAGGCAGCACTGAGAGCTGGCTGCCCCTAGCCCACGCCTTCTGCCCTAGGCCTCACCCCTTCCTGGGGCCCAGAGCCAAGTCCCCCGCATTGCCCAGCGCTCAGTGAAGTCTGTCGCCAGCCCGTTCTTCAAGCAATCACTTCTCCCTCCTTCTAATCAACTTTTTCCATATACTCCCCACTCTTGTATCTGAAAATTCTAGTTACATGTATAGCACTCTCTACGTGGAAAAGCAGATTACCAGATGGCTCTCAAGGGCTCTGGTGTTCATCATTTGATAGACTCTTACCTGAGCTTGCAGAGTTGGGTCTGGCTCCATTGTGATGACTGCAGCCTTCTGAGATTATACATCTCTGCTGAGTCCTCTCTGTTTCTTTCTTTTCCGTGTTTACCACACTTATACCATTCATTCTTGCAGCTGCATTGTCCAAAGAACTGCTGCTTGACCCAGGAGTTTCTAAGAGAAGCTGATGCTCCTGATGAGGACCGCCGGAGATCTGTGCTCCTGTATCTCGTTGCTTCTTGTCAGGCTGCTTCTGAAAACACAAGAAGGGTTGGGATGGTTACAGTAAGTGGCAAAAGGTCAAATTCTGTGAAACTTTTAAGAAAGGGAAAAAAAACTAGGCTGAAATAAAGCTTCACTTCAATTTTCACCAGGTGATTGTCTGACCCCTCTGTCCTACATCTGTACTTATGGCTCTGAAGAAACCTTTAGTGGTCCCCTTAAGATCCCACTGATATACTGGCCACTATTGGCCCAATGCAAACTAGTGCATCGGAGGCTCTAGCTTATGCAGGGGGCAACGCACTCCCCTTTATCTCTCCAGTTATACTTTTCAGCTATTTGTATTATATTTTTAATAGATATTGAATTAATTTATAAACATGAATTAATGAAATGGGGCAGTGGGGGGAGAAGGAAGAAACTGATATTCACCAAATCTGCAGCTTCAATGGGACAGGAACCAAGCCACGTTGCAAACGAGAAAAGAAAAGTTAAAATTAAAAACAAAACCACCAACTACAATCAATTACAAAACAGCTTCACTTTAACTAAATGGGAGATGTTCCCTGCAAGAGGTCTGCACTTTGTTTTGTGCTTGTATCATCTGTCGGTGGAGCAGACCTGGTTGCGTACCCTGTTTTAAAACGTTATCAAACATTTACTTTATATTCACTCTGCAATGTGCCAGGGTCTGGAACAGGTGTAGTGAACAAAGAAGATTCTCATTATTTAATTCAATTAATTCATCAGCACTCTCTCCAGTTGTGCAGAAAGGACAAAGAGTTAAGATGGAAATCACAATCATGGCCATAATAATTAAGTAAAATCACACTAATTAATCATGTGGAGTAATTACATCATGAAACACAAAATACTTTACAAAGTGCAGCAGGAGCTTTTGTTGCACAGGTGCTTGATTTCACTACAAAGCTGGAGCCTTAAATGATCGTGTACCAGACAGGAAAAATTACATGAGGCCTCAGCAGAGCACAGGTCTCACGCCAGCCTTCCATGCAGGAAGGCATTTCACCCCAATGCATACCGCATATTGTGGATAGAAGACCGGTATTTGCATTAGGGAGGTTAAAATGTGGGTAATTGTGTAAGCGTGTAACTGCTGAAAAAACCAGCAGTTATACGTACTTGCAACAACAACCGGCTCCCAGGGAGCCAGTGAGCACCAGAAGCAAGCTTTTAAGCCAGCTTCCAGCATGCACTGGCTCTCGCCTGCAGCCCCACTCCTGGGGAGCCAGACACTACCCTGTGCTGCTGCCTCGGATACAGAAGCAGCAGCATGGGGGGGCAGCCAGCTTCCCAGGAGCAGGGCAGGAGTCTGCTGTAACTGTCAACATTAAAACAATAAGCCCAGGCTTATGGGTTAACCATTTACCCTGTTATATGCTCACATGCCTAATTTGTATATCTAACTTTATTATTGATTTAATTTCATCTGTGTTATTCTCAATCCACAAATCTTACCTTTTCTTCTAGAAAGAATAAAACAGGCAACCACTGCCAATACAATGAGTACGAGAAATGTGACTCCTGCAATTATACCTACAGAAAACGAGAGAAAAGATGCTTGGGTAAAAACTGATGCGTGTGGGTTTTTTTAATATTCTCCTTTGCTATAAATGCTAAATATCACACCCGTCAGTTGTGCATCTAAGTTGAATAGTGAGCATTGGCTTTAGCTGATTGCGGGGGGACAACAGACTTGCCAGGCCCCTGGGCAAAGTGAGGGGGGCCAACTCTCTGAAGAGGTGAGGCCTCGGGTGGAAGGAGACGGGCTGGGGGCAGCCAGGCCTTGGCATCGCTCAGACCACACCACACCGCCTCCCTCCCCCTCCACAGCCCTCAGAGCTACCTGGAGCGTACCATAAGGGGCTCCTATGGCAATTTAAAGAGCCCAAGGCTCTAGGGTTGCCAGGTGTCTGGTATTGAACTGGACAGCCCAGTATTTGCGCCTTCCATCTGGTAAAAAATTTCAGAAAATACCGGACACAATCTAAAATGTCCGGTATTTTCTATTTTTCCTGCAGCCCTGTGGGCGCCTGACAGAAGGCTGCTTGAGACATACGGCACGTTTCAACTCCTCCCCCCCCTTTTCTTTTGCTCAACAGAATTTTTTCCCGGGGGGGTTTTTTGGGGGGGGGGGTTCAGTATTTTTCGTGAAATCATCAGGCAACCCTACAAGGCTCTGGCCACCACCACTGCCACAGAGCTCGCAGCTGGGAGTCCTGGGTCCTTTAAATTACCAGGCCTCGGGGTAATTACCACCTTCGCCCCAACCTATCAGCGGTCTGGCTGATCAATATACAAGATCCTATTTTGACCTCACTTGCCTAGTTTTGAAAAATGAGGGATGGCTTTTGGCCTACACTCCACCCACCAGAGAGCCACAATGGGCCAGGAGGAGAATTCCCCGGATGCAAGAAAAACATAGGGCTGACATAAGCAATCCTACATTGTCCCCTATACCTTTTATGCTGAGGCCTATGTATACGTCAGGAGCAGCAGAAAGCTCATTGCGTTCAGTACTATGGAGATTCTGGGCTACTTCCCCAACAGCCTGGGTCAGATTGCCCTACATTAGAAAGACTCCCAGGAGTAGCTCAGACTCTAGGCCTCAGACGCTTGGCTCACTCTTCTTGGGCTGCCTCTCCCATGAGACACAGCACATAAGCTGGCACTGGGCCCCAGAAGAAATTTGCCAAGATCACAATGGAGCTTCAATATCCGTGAACTGGGCAAATATTTTGGGGGGGGAAGAAAAAAAAAAGTACAAACCAGTCAAAGCCCTTGTGAACTCATCAGATGGAATGCAACTGTGGTGAGTCAGCATTTGCAAACAGTGTCATAACCGACCAGGAAAGAAACAACTATGCGACACCTCACGCCCTTAGCAGAAAACAAGTGAATTTAATCAACAGCTCACCAATGGTCTCAGACACAGCTGAAAAGCTACTCCCAACAGGATTGGTTCTTATTTCTTGAATGCTAGAGGTAATGCTTTGTGCAGGAAGCTGGCTAGTGCTGGGTGCGGTGGCAGGAGGAGATGTTACTATGACAGGGACATACACCTCTAAGTCCATGCAGATCGTGTCCCCTGTGGCGTTTCCTTGAACAGACACCGACTGACAGCTGCAAGAAACCAGAGGAGGGTTTAAAAACAAAAAACAACCTTCAGATACAATTACAGGCTGAGGTCTCGTTAGATGAAAAAGGCTAAATTGGCAACTTACACTCTGTGTGGTTTGCAGGGAGCAGTTGAGGATTCCACATCTGAAAAAGTGCCAGGGGGACATGGAGAACACTCGGTATTCGTGCTGTCTGTCCCTTTAAATAAATATTTTTAAATGATTCCAGTTATTCACTTGTTGTGAAACACCCAAATTAATCATGAAGTTCTAGGTGATTCACACCGGTCCTGGAAATGTTATGGAGACAATAAACCAAAGAGCAACCATCCTTGCTAAGGGTAGAGTCCTTGTGACAGAAGGAAAGATTAATTGGGCTGTTATCTCTATGCCCTTGAGGGCTACAGGATTTTTCAAATGGTTACTTGGAAATCAACTGGAACAGTTAAAACATGGCATTAAAAGCCAAATCCTGCAGTCTTTGCCCATCCTTAATCAGGCAAAACTCCTATTCCAGTCAATGGGAGTTACCTGAGTCACAGCTGCAGGGTTGAGTGACCGTAAAAAATTCCCCTCCCCCCAGCAAACTCTGGGTGCGATGCTTTTTTCTTCACATCAGTATATTCACCACCATTCTGCGACCAATCAAGATAGGCATAAAGTTCAAGATACCATCTAAACCAGTGGTCCCCAATGCGGTGCCCGCGGGCGCCATTGCGCCCACCAGGCCACTTCTGTGCGTCCGCCGAGTGAACGGGGCCAGCCCCGCCTCTGGACGCACAGTGTTTGGGCGGCCCTGGTCCCAGGCACGCAGCCCAGGGGCGGCACCAGCCCTGTCCTCGGGTGTGCGGTGCACGGGTTGTTCCAGCGCACGGGCAGCCCCACCCCTGGGTGCGCAGCACAGGAGCAGAGCCGGCGCCAGCCCTGGGAGTGTAGCACATGGGTGGCATCAGCACCGGGCTCACGCCGTATAGGTGGCCCAGACCCCAGGTACATGCACGGCCCCGCCACCAGATGCTCGGCGAGTGAGCAGCCCCGCCCCCGGGCACCTGGCAGCACCAAAAGGCTGGGGGCCACTGATCTAAA